AAGAGAGGAGGATAAGCCTGCTCATTTGGCTTGTGATGAGCCGGAGCCGTCGGCTTGTTGGCCTTGGCGAAGAATGTCTGTAAGTTGGTCCATGTTTGTTCGTCTTCGGCTTTGTTGCGCCATTCTTTGAGAGCTAACGTGAAAACGCCGCTGTTTTCCAAATTTTTTAGTGCAGAACGGATGGTGGCTCTTTCAGTGATGTTGTTATGGTCGCGTGCGAAGGAGCGTGCATCGTTGATCTGATGGAAGAGCAGTTCGATGGGCTGTGTTGGTGTCCATTTGGCATTCATGCAGTCGATGTTTTTGTCAAGGTCGTCATTGGTGAGGGTTCCATACTGTTCGTTGAGGTGGACAATGAGGTCATTGTAGCTGAGTGTGGAGTATCCTTCATCGGGGTCTTGGAGAGACTTGTAGTAGACTTCTTCGACGGCTTCCATGGTCTTGCGTAAGAGGGCCTTTTCGGTGGATTGGAAGAGCTGGAATTCGGTGAGGTCATACTTGTGTGCTGAGACCATGCGCGTGATTTGGGGTCCGGTGGCTCCATCAGGGACATCTGGGCGTGTTCCTGGATGGACTGGGTCGACCCATGGTGTTCCGGCTACTGCAGGCCTTGCATTGAACCTGTCTAGGGTGTAGCAGAGGCGTAAGTGTCCTTCGTTGCCATTGCCGCGGAGGCTATGGATCTGACGTGCATTGTCTTTGTTTTCTTTTTCTAGGCGTTTGATGCCTGTGCGGGTGGGGCGGCGTGTGGCGGCAGTGATGCTGGTGAGTGTTGAGTGTATGAAGTCCTGAGTCGGATCATACTTGATGGTCGTCTGGTTGTATGTTGCGTGTGGCTGTTGGTGGTTGATGTGATCAGAGCTGGATTACCGGGTGGTCGGTAACCGGTGGTTGAGAATTGCTTTCTAACTATTGAAGTCAATAGCTCTAAGGTTTAACTGGAGGTTAGAAACAATAATGAGCTTATTGGCTTTGGTGGCTGTCGCCGTTGGTCATGTAAATGACCGTTGGGGATCTGCGGATCTACATCTATGTGACGGTCCCGCGAGCCGGCCAGTGCAGGCTTGCTTGGTGGGACGTGCTTCTGGTGGATATAAGGTCAATGTCGCAGTGGTATTGGGACTTTAACACTGGATTGTCACTTGATCTAAGTGCGGCTTTCCGTATTTATTTTGCCTGCCATTTGTTAGCGGCATCGACCGTGGAGTACGTACCAGGTAAGCAAGTAACTCGGTGCGGCTGCACGCACGTGCGGTACGTACGTAGTATGGTACCTCTGTGTATGCATAGTGACAGAGAAGATAGAACGGTGCGTAGAGCGCCAGTAGCTAGCGCTACTACTGTAGGAAAAGCATACCTACTGTACCAATACAGACATGTACTTCAAAAGATCTAATCTTTCGGTATCACCCGTAACAACTTGATTGAAGTCCTTGGTCAAAAACGACTGTGGTTTCATTTGCAACCACAGATCTAAGGATCGGATCATGGCAGCCATAATGCAGGAGACTCACGGTCCTTAGAATGCTGTTGCCTTCCTGTAAATCCTGCACGCAAGCTTGTACCGCCTCCATGCTCCACAAACCTCTTTGACCCCACGGAAAAATGAAGCAAGCTCAATAATCCTTTAGCCAGATAATAAAACTCTGCGTGTTCTTTGCTTCCAAAGATTCTTCGCCTCCCCGCATGTCAAACACTGTAAACGTGCAGCTACCGTGGGCACGCCGACTTCACAAAGATGCGCATTCGGCACCTTGCTGGCATCTCACTTCCAATTCTGGCCAGCGCATCGCCAAACTACCGGGGATCCTTGGTCCAATCATCAATACCTCTGATGAAGGCTTCAGCCATCTAGAACTCAGCAGATCCTATCTTTTTAAAAAATGCATTGCCTCAAAATATGGGTTTTCCCTACGTCCGTCCCTCATCACAACGAAGGAATCGAATCCCTTCGCATGAGAAGAGAAGGGTGGAGATGGCCATTACATGTATTTAGACTCGAGTGGCTGAACGGTACGAGTACAACGTACATGTATCATACAAGGAGTGGCAACTCACCCGGTGTTGTCCAGCACCTCACGTACCGGTACACCGGTACCCCACGGCCCTAGCATGGATATGCCCCTGGTGATGTACCGACCGTACCAGGCTGATCACTTAAGTCTTGTGGCTTCTGGCGTAATGTCAGAAGAAGCCTTCTTACATAAATCTCTGAGTGCCTTTGCTCACGCTTTCTGCGCCGTTTCATTTGGGGTGAAGAGGTTGTCGCATGATTTGATAATCATGCCGCCATTGCCGCAAGAGATATCAGGCTCAGGCAAAGAAGAGGCGGAATTCAGGACTACCGTAGGTTCGTCGGGACAGGGGAGACACAAATACTGTACTATACGATCGGCTGCTGCTCTCACAGCTACCGGTATCGATCTGGTCTACTTGGAATTATTCTGGTATTCTGGTATACCCTCCAAACACTGCCTCTTTCTTTACGCCCCAACGGCATACTCGACTCGACTTGATCAGCCCACCTCATAAGTCTAACTTGAGATGTCCAACTCAAATAGGCCGCCAGGTCGAGAGTTTCCACCAGCAGGTCGTGGGCAACCGCCAGCTGCATCCCCCCAAATTCAACCTCCTTCCCGCCCTCCCCCTTATGGCCGCCATCATTATCAGCGACATCCTCCTCCTATGCCCCATCATTGGGGTCCCCAACCTGGGTATCACAATGCGGCTTCGTTTTCGCCTAACTAGTCGACAATCATCGCAATCCATGGCCACTCCCATCCCTCGTCAGGGTTATCGGCCACTTCCCCATGGATTTGCCCCACATCCGCCGACACAATGCCACCCTCACTTTCACCGCAACAGCTTCCATCCGGTTCCTGGGTCGCGACCTCATCCTCCTGGCTATGGCTACACTCCACCAGCTGCTACTGAGAAAAATCAATTCAGGAAAAATCACCAAGTACATCAGGAGCACATGGGGCAGTCTCAAAAGCCTACTAGTCAGGAAGCAAGGCGCCAGGTTAACAAACCTCAAGCAGCCAATGCCGACCCGCCATCCGGAAGTCCTTCTGCACGGAATCCAGTTTCCAAGAAGAGGGAAGGGGAAAATTCACCACAACAGCAGACAACAGAAGAAGGAAACTCGCCACCGCCTGCAAGAGAAGATGATGTTCCTTGGGAAGAACAATATGCAAAGATAAAGAAATTCTTTCAGGATCATCAGCACTGTGTTGTTCCAGGCTCTTTCGGTGGTAAGAAACTAGCAAATTGGTACTCCAACCAGAAACGGGATTTGAAGAATGGAACAATGAGGGCTGACAGGGTGGAATTGCTTCGGGCAATAAAGTTTTTCTGTTACGTTACAAAATGGAATATCGAGTTCGGCAAGCTGCAAAAATTCAAGGCAGACAACAATGATGGACGCTGCATGCCTTCATCAACAGATAGTCAAAACCACGAACTATTCAAATGGGCCAAGATGCAGAAAATAAACTTGGCACACAACCACAAGACTCTAACGGCTGAAATGCGACAAAAGCTCATGGATCATTTTGATCTAAATCCGGAGATTGAGAGAGCAAAACGGGCTGCAAGTGAACTGCATGGGAGTGCCAAGTGCGCCAATGCAGCAAGGACGTGAAGATATGGCCCTCGTTTAGCTCTTGTTCCATAGGGTACAGTGATGCTGTGACGATACTGGCGCGCGCTGCCGGAACGGTACTGTATGTACTTTTTCGCACTGGCAGCTTCTTGTGCCCATGGATCGTTGCCCCAACGGTACCGATACGTAAAATCGAATCGGCGGCTCCGCAGACGTTCCATGAAGTGCATATTCGTTTGATTGCTGGGTGCCTTTCAACAGGAGGTATTTAACTAATGTACTAGAACCTCGTTACATATGCAACTTTTACATTAGTGTTGGGAAGCGCATCTGCATGCCGCCTCCGTCGTCAAGTTCTGGTATGCTTGAATACCTCCCGGTGACGGTAGATCTTAAGACGACGAGGGATGATCCAACAGCTCCTTTGGCTTGGAATCCACGCATCTCATTCTTCAAGCCGTCCGGAAAACTTGCATATTTTGATTAGAGAAGGGAAAGCGCTCCGGAAAACTTGCATATTTTGATTAGAGAAGGGAAAGCGCTCCGGAAAACTTGCATATTCTGATTAGAAGGGAAAGCGCTCCGGCAACTACACCTATGCATAGTAAGAAGTGGCAGGCGCTCCCGAAGAGTTAAAAGGGAAAGCGCTCCGGAAAACTTGCATATTTTGATTAGAGAAGGGAGAGCGCACCGGAAAACTTGCATATTTTGATTAGAAGGGAAGCAACCGATAAGGAGATGCTGGCGCTCAGTTAACGGTACAGTCGAACAAGGGTTGGGATTACGGGACTGAATATCCAATCAATTGATCAATAAATTTTTTAAAAAAGATCGAAAGAGTCAGAGTCGAATTGAATCGAATGATTCAATCTAATGATTCGATTCAATCGAATGATTCAGTCGAATGATTCGACGCAATTCGTACTGTACTGCGAGTCTGTTGCCGCTGTTGGTACCTGGTACCACCATGATAGCGGTACCGGTACAGCATACTAGTACTGGTTGTGTACTGGTACTGGGCGTAAGCTGCTGTGCACTGCTTCCATCAATCCGTACCGTGCTCCCGATTGAGATTCTTACAGTACTGTCCGGGTGTCCGGGTATCAATCCACATGCCCGCACCTACGCACCTCCGGTGCCCGCCGGTACCGGTAGCTACAGCACTAACTGGAGGTGTGCTTCAGAAATTCAGAACATGCTGCGCTATTATGGCAGCAAAAGTACTAGTAACTACTAGCTATCAAATCATTCCTCCAAACAACCCTCCTCGCAAGCTCCTCGAATGGAGAGGGCCATTTTTTCAAACTATTGAATGATACGAGTCGAGTCAATCAAACCTCTTTGCAATTGCGAGCCAGTTGCATTACTGCTTGCACGTACCACGTACGTGTACATCGCTTTATTCTTCTTCCGAGGAGGACCGGAATGAGCAATGAATGTAATAGCTTGTCACTTCTAATACTTCAACAGAAATTCGTGCCGAAAAAGGCATCGCTTTGACACACGACGTTTCATGCATCATGGAGACGAGGCAGATAGGAGCGAGGCAGGCGGTCTCAAGTGAGTCCAGTTCAACTGAAGATTGTGTCTGTGCATGTAGTTATAAAGGGCAATCCGAGCTACCGTAGTAGGAGGGGTACGATCCAGGCCACTGCAGCCAGTGTTGACAATGCCAATGGCAGGCACACGTGAATGAGACCCCCCACTGCTCTCGAGCTCCTGCTCTGCCTCGTTCTACAACGTCCTCTGGCTACGCCCTGGCAACCTTGCCACAGGTACCGTAGGTTGATGGCCCCCATGTTCCCGTTCCCCATTCTTTGTAAAGGACCTCCTTGTGTCGCCTCAGTGATGAATCGAATCAAGTCGAACGAATGATTCAATCAACCTCTGTTCCAAGCTACCAGTACTGTACAAATGTAATACTGAGTCCTAGCTAGTAGTAGTTACCGGTACCGGTAGTTATGCAGAGGCTTTTCTGACTAAAAGCTCTACAAGCTACAAGTATTTTAATTTATTAAGTGCTCTTGCGAACACTGCCATGGTGAACATCGTCATTTTTAATTATTTTCCCTTCGCCAGAATTGAATCAGAATTGAACTTCAATCGAAGTGGTGGCTGGCCATCTTAGCCAACGAGCCAACGAAGAATTCCCTCATCGGTCGCAGTACCGGTAGTCTTTAACACTGCCTGGATCTGTCTTTCGTCTCGGAGGCAGCCGCATCCATTTACAGCAGATCCTGCATTAACTTGAGATGTCTGGCTCCAATAACAGTCCGCCAGGCCAAGGGTTTCCAGGCCAAGGGTTTCCAGGTCGTGGGCAGCATCCTCCTTCCTACCCTCCTGCTCCTCGTGGTTTCCACCATCACCATTATCAGCAGCATCCTCCACGTGTGCCTCACACTCACCACAGTGGTCCCAACCCTTGCTTGCCCAATGCTGCCTTTTTTGCTAGACAACCACCCGATTCGTTTGCCACGCCCTTCCCTGCTGGCTATCCTGCACCACGTCCTTATGGGTATGCTGCACATCCGCCGACACAGCTCCAACGCCAACATCCGTTACCCCACCACGGCTACCATCCGGTACCCGGGGCGCAACCTCATCCTGCTGGCCATGGCTACACTCCACCAGCTGCTACCCAGAAAAATCATTACAAGCAAAATCACCAAGTGCAGCAGCGACGGCAGCATTCTCAGGAACTAGTGGTAGCGGCTGCTGCCCCAAATCAGTCAAAACACAACCAAGCCATGCAGTTACCTTGGCAGCCACACCCACCACCATCACACTGCCGTTGTCCACCAACAAATCCAGCTTGGGAAGAGAGCAAGGGAAACTCATTTCAGCAGCAAACAAATCGCAAGGCTACGAAAGAAACAAGAGGGCTAGAGGCACCCTTAGATCAAAACGAATCTTGGAATCTGTACTATGCGCAGCTCACGAAATTTCGTCGTGACAATGGACACTGTGTAGTTCCTGCATCGATTCCCGGTGATAAAAAATTTGCTAATTGGGCCCGAACACAGAGAACTCAATGGAAGGAGGGCACGATGAAGCCTCATCGAAGGGAAAAGCTTGAGGCACTTGACTTTGATTGTGAAGATACCAAATGGAATGCTTTTTTTGACAAGCTTCAGAAATTCAAGGCAGACAACAACAATGGTAAATACGTGCCTACGAAAAAGGAAAACCAAACGCTGCGCCATTGGGCAGATACACAACGAAAGCGCATGAGGAATCTCAAACCCGAGTGGAAACAAAAGATGTTTCAACATTTCGATCGAACTCCAGAGATAGAGACAGCCAAACGGGGTGCGAGTGAATTGCGTGGGAGGGCCAAGGGCACTGGGGAAGCTGGAACAACAACCGACCAAAATGCTGCTCTGGGTGAGAAGAACATGGGTAATGAAGAGCTCACCTCGGCCACCGCGAGCAATGCTGCCAGTGAACGATACACGACTGCCAAGAGCACCGGGGTACCTGCAACAACAACAACCGACGAAAATGCTGCTCTGTGTGTGAAAAACAGCGACAAAGAGCTCACCTCGGCCACCGCGAGCAGCGAGGAGGAGGCTGCTGTTACGATTCAGGAGGATGTTGGAGCTCAAGCTGGGGGTGAGGATTCCCAAGGTCCGTCTGCGAACAATGCCACAATTAACAATCCAGTTGCTACCAAAGACAAGCAAAACTACCCTAGTCCAGTTTGTCAGGAACAGAATCAAGCAACGTCTCGCACAGGTGCCATCAACAAAACGGACTGCCCTGGCTGCACTGGCCGTAGCCGAGCGAAGAAATTCCAAAACCAGCAATCCGTTGCCGCGGCGGTGGCCTGGATGCAAGCGTACGACAAAAAGCAAAAAAAGCAGCCCAAGAAAGGCAACACCAAGAAAGGCAACAAAAAGCGCAAGCGGGGAGGGCGCGACAAAGCCACCGCCAACAACAACACCTGCAAGCAGAAGCCGACGATGGTGGAAACATACGTCAACACACTCTGCCAATACATTGAATATGCTGACAATGAGTCCGATGACAGCACCAATGACAACAATGCATCCACCAATGACACCGAGTCTACCGGTACCAGTAATACAGAGTTGCTTTGTGATGGCTGCGCAAACCACTGGAACGATTTGCTCAAGACGCATTTTGAGGATCGCAAGAAGGAATTCGCTGATCCCCTCAATGTGTCGAAGCATGAATTCAAAGTCTTGGGAATTGACGAATGCGACATGCTTGATCTTGCCGATCTCCTACAGATAGACTGCCAAAAGCATGGCGGTGGTATCGTTGCCACCACTAAGGGTGCGAATGTAAAGTATTTCTACTTTGGCAAAACAGATGGAAAGAAATCGTGGAAAGATCATGATGCACTGCAAGAGCTAGAGAACGCAACAAACGCAATTGAAAAAATGGGAAACCTAATTGCGAGCAAACTGCCCCTCGGGATCAAGGGATATCGGCAAGACCCAGCCATGCTCTACACCAAGAAGACAGACACCCAAGGTGCTCATCGGGATCAACGTGGTTTCTGCGATCTGTACACGCATGATCGTGGTTTGGGTGATGGTGAAACGTGCCTCCCGTCGGATCGGAGCAAGAGAGAGACGAAGCTCCTCCCATGGATTTGGCACTGCCCATTGACCCCCGAGGGCATGGAGTTGAACTACTGGCCCGGTGGATGCGACCCAGAGGATCCGCCAATTCGCATTCACATCCCGTACGGAGCCTCCTTACTGGCGCGAATTGATGCCATTCACGGAGGTGGCTTGGGTCGCCCGGGAAATCGGCGTTTGCACATTGCATTCTGGCCCTTCAGCACAGCGATTCGAGAAGCAGGGGAAAAGCTGGGGCTGCCGCCGAAAGTGATTGACTTTCGCAAAAAATGCGGCAGGGCAGATGTGGGGTATTCTGGCCGGGGACTGGATGTGTTAAACAATCGACTGGGGGATCCCAAGGCCCATGGGCGCCCAAACGAAATCTCCTTGTACTCGGATGTAGGCGGCCCCAACCTTTGCCGAAAGGTGGGTCCGGTGATCCTCGGGCAGCGGGGCTATCTTCAGGGGATGCGGGACAACATGATTTTCGGGGCGGATTTTCAGGGGAAGTGGGCAAGGAAGTGGAACCACTGGGAGCAGAAGAAAGGCGATGAAGCAGATCGGAAGTTGGCGGCGGCGGCGGCGACGACGACGAAAACAGCAACAACAACAACAAGAACAACAACGGACAAGCCCAAGGGTCCTATCGGCGAAAAAAGCACGCGTTCTGCCACGGGCGAACAACGCACGCAGCCATCCAGGGGCAGCAAAAAGCGTCGGATATACGGACCTTAGTTTGCTTGGTAAGCTAACGTTTAATAAATAGTTCCTTGTTTACTAAGTTTCATTTTCGTGTCTTAGAACTGTGTTAGCAGAGCTGTTAGAAAATGCCTTTTCGAGTGAAACGGAGACGTACGTTGAATGGTTCGGATGTGGTCGAAAGAATCTCAACACAATGTTGAGGGATTTTGCGTGGCTTGGCATTGTTTGTGCTTGGTTGGTTGTCGTGTTGAGAGGTTGCATTCGTCAGGGAGAATGTGTGTGTCGGTGACAAAACCACCAACGCATCAAACTGAAAATTAGCATCGATCCAGGGCCACCACCAGGAGCGCGGATCGTCGCCAATGTGATTCGATTCACGTAAGTTGTGGCTTTGTGGGGCTTTTCTTGTTGCTGCGTCGGCACTTTCAGGCGACGTAATGCGGCCAGGAAACGTCGAGTGACAGATATCTTGCCGGTTGAGCAGCGACTCCCCTCCTGGGTGGTTTGCGCGGATTGTCGATGGCGTCAGAAAACGCCGACGGCTCTTCTTCCTTGGCAAATCATCCGCCCGAGAAAGGATCGGCGGACGAGTACCTTTCGACGAGAGATTGCTCAAAGGCAAACGCAACGATGCAACTTTAAGCCTGGCCCCGGCTGCATGGCTTCCGTAGATAATTACCCTACTCTAAACCTCCGTTGCAACTGTTCCATGCTGTGACAACATGGACTTGGTCCTTAATGCTCATCCGGGCACTGCAAATGGCCTTGGACTTGGTCGGCCACGGGGAAGATGAATTGTTGTGCCCAGCTGAAGTCGACGAGCTCTTGGACAGCGCCTGAAACAGGTTGATGTCCGCGAATTTTCGTTTGTCAAACCCAAATCGGTACTTTGCAGAGAAGCTGTACCGTGCCGTACAGCTACCTGGTACCAGTACAGGCAGCAGCATCAAGGCAAGAAGGAGCGAATGAATAGTAGAGAATCACTCGACTCGACTCGAATCAAATCAATCATTTGGTGGAATCGGTATCGGCAATGGCACGATGTGTGTTGGTGCACGTGAGCTTGAAAATTTTGCGCTCGACGATCCGATCCGACAGCTCAGCCAAGGAAGTAACCCTATCATTCTCTCGTACGAGTACCGGTAGGTACGGCGCCATGGTGGAACCGGGTCGTCGACGTGCGGGCATTGTAGGATACCGGTAGTACTTTGGGTTATCGGAAGACGAGTTTGACACGTTTGTCGGCGCGATGAGGAGCGTGATTCTCCAGATTGACAGCCACATTTGGCACGACGGCGCCCTGCGTCTCTGCATCCTCCTGTGGTTGGCCATTCAAACTAGCAAGCAAGCAAGGAATCCTCCAGCGTTCTTGCTACCAGAGGCAACATGGAGGAACCGAGTCATGATCGATGAGTTGTCGTCACAGGAGCCGTGCAAAACGCTGGGGATGGTCGTTACCGTTGTCGGCGTGCCATGGTGGTGCCTCGTCACAAGGGCAGCCAAGTGGACGCAGAAGTTCCGAATGTACAGGGCATTTTGAATGGAAAGTCGGCGGAGACTTTCGTTGTGTATCGTAATAGCAATGACTACTAGAATGGTCTGTGGTTCTCCGTGAATGGGAGAGTATATGGCAAAGCATCGATAGCAGTCCTTGGCTTTGGAATGACTGTCTCCCTTGCTCTCAATTCATTCCTTGGAACAGCCGCAAGTGCCTCTGTTCTTGTTGCTTGCGTTTTGATTGTGTCCACTAATGACCTGATTTGATCAAGCTCAGTTGCTCCTGTATAGTGGCAGAACTGAACCTAAACTGGTACTATAGTTGGCAATCGATTCGATTCAATCTGTGCCATGGTACATATAGGAAGTGGAACCAGAAAAGTAGAAGAAGCAGCTTGAATGTTCATGATTGGTCTGGATGTCTGGATACATCGTGCCTTGACGGCTTTGATCACTCTCGGTGTGGTTCCGGGACCAAGATACAGGAAAGCAGAATAGCTCACGTACAACAAGAACTATAATTAGCTCTACTTGTACCTAAACCTTGTTCTTATGTGATGGTGGACATGGTGGGTGCGGCCGTGTTGGTGGCTCAACTTGCTTAACCACAACTGTAACAGAGTGGGCTCCATGTATTGGGACCAGGTGAAAACACGCTTTCTTCATTTCCATTTGGGCAGGAAGTCCCTACAAAGGGGAATCCGACTGCGGCACCACTTTGTATTCTGCCCGACCAAGCACATAGATTTTGATCAAAGGCAGTCAACCCAGCAAACATAGAAATGAAGTCCATGACACTGCTCACATCCCTGGTGTGTCAGTGAAGCAAAACCAATTAGACAACCACCACAATTTGCATTTGCCATGAACAGGATCCAACTTACCAAATTGACAAGTCTTGGTTAAAACTTGTTACATGAAACAATTCCCGCATGTCCGTGACACGGCTCACATCCCTGTGCGTAAGTGAAGCAAAAATGATTTAGCGACCACAAGTTTCAATGTTTTGCCATGACAAAGAAGTCGACTTACCACGCTGACAAGTCTTGGTCAAAAGCCTGTGCACCAGAAAACATGTACGCCATATTGGTGACCTGCGCTGTTTGCCATCCTGAAATATCATCGTTAAAGGCTGAATTGCCCATGAATAGACCATAGAAATTAGTCACTCGGGAGACATCCCAGCTCCCGATGGGGCCATGGATTGATGATCCGGTGCTTGACCAAATGGCAATTGCTGTTTCCAGATCTGACTTGCTGTTGATTGGAGGGTACGTAGGCTGTTGAGTTGGAGCCATCGTAGGCGGTTCTGTTGGTGGGTGTGTTGGAAGTTCTGTTGGAGGCATTGTGGGTGGTTCCGTTGGAGGCATTGTAGGTGGTTCTGTTGGATGCATCGTAGGTGGTTCCGTTGGTGGGTTTGTCGGAGGTTCCGTTGGAGGCATTGTGGGTGGTTCTGTGGGTGTGGTGGTTGGGACAGCACTAGGAACGGAACTGGGGAAAGAACTTGGGATGTTGCTTGGCCTGGAACTGGGAGTGCCACTTGGAACCATGCTTGGAACCATACTTGGAACCATACTTGGAACCATACTTGGAACCATGCTTGGAGATGCACTTGGGTTTGAACTAGGGGGGTTACTTGGGGTGGAGCTTGGATCAAGGCTCGGATTCTGGCTTCTGCTGGGGCTAAAGCTGGGTAGACCACTCGGTTTCGAACTTGCTGTGGGTGATTGGCTCGGTGTTGAACTGGGAGAACCACTGGGGCTGCCACTGGGGATAGCACTGGGAGTGTTACTTGGGTTGGAGCTGGGATCAAGGCTCGGATTCTGGCTTCTGCTGGGGCTAAAGCTGGGTAGACCACTGGTTTTGGACTTGCTGTGGGTGATTCACTTGGCATTGAGCTGGGAGAACTGCTAGGGCTGCCACTGGGGAACTGCTTGGCAGCTGGCTCGTGCTGGGACTGAAGCTTGGCAACTACTCGGACTGGAACTGGCAGAAGGGGAATCACTTGGGATTGAGCTGGGAGCGCTACTTGGTTGGAGCTGGGATCAAGCTCGGAGTCTGGCTTCTGCTGGGGCTAAGTGGGAGACACTTGGTTTTGGACTTGCTGTGGGTGATTGCTGGTGTTGAGCTGGGAGAACTGCTGGGCGCCACTGGGGGCACTGCTTGGATCTGGCTTGCGCTGGGGTGAAGCTTGGGATCTACTGGGACTGGAACTGAGGAGGGGAATCACTTGGGATTGAGCTGGGAGCGGTACTTGGGTTGAAGCTGGGATCAATGCTCGGAGTCTGGCTTTTGCTGGGGCTAAAGCTGGGTAGACCACTTGGTTTGGACTTGCTGTGGGTGATTGCTGGTGTTGAGCTGGGAGAACTGCTTGGCAGCTGGCTCATGCTGGGGTTGAAGCTTGGCGATCTACTAGGACTGGAACTTACAGAAGGGGGGTTACTTGGGATGAGCTGGGATGCGCTTGGGTGGAGCTGGGATCAAGGCTCGGATTCTGGCTTCTGCTGGGGCTAAAGCTGGGCAGACCACTTGGTTTTGGACTTCCTGTGGGTGGTTCGCTTGGAGTTGAGCTGGGAGAACTGCTTGGGCTGTCACTGGGGGCACTGCTTGGAAGATGGCTTGTGCTGGGCGGGAAGCTTGGTGATCTACTGGGACTGGAACTGACAGATGGGGAATCACTTGGGATAGTGCTGGGAGTGCTACTTGGATTGGAGCTGGGATCAAGGCTCGGATTCTGGCTTCTGCTGGGGGTAAAGCTGGGTAAACCACTGGGCATATGGCTCAATGTAGGATTGCCGCTTGGGATAGCACTGGGAAAGCTGCTGGGGGCAGAACTAGGCCCACTGCTGGGTAACTGACTAGTGCTTGGACTGAAGCTTGGAAGACCACTTGGTCTAGGACTAGCTGTGGGATACTCACTGCGACCTCCTCTAGGAGTTGAACTTGGGGGATGACTCGGCTGGATGCCTGGTGGCTCACTGGTCAACCAACTTGGGCTTGCACTTGGATGGGGGCTTGGTGCCTGACTTTCACTGGGATGAAAGCTTGGAGTATCACTTGGCATAGCACTTGTGGTGGGAGACACACTTGGAGTAGCACTGGGTCTGATGCTTGGAGCATTTGATGGATTGGGCGTTGGACCTGTTGCACTCAATGCAGTCACACCTTCTTCAGCAGAAATATCATTGAATGCACCAATGAGGGCACCGAGGTACCAGCCTTGTGATAGGTCCTCTGTAGCTTCAACTTCTGCCTGTATTCTGTACTGCACTAGCTCTCCATTTGAAATCTGCAGTTGTCTTCTTTGTGGAATCCTGCCAAGCACCGAAATGCTGAACACTGTGGGGACACACCCAGAGAGGACATCTCGGATAGACTGACTTGCATTCCACATGGCATTCACAAGATATTGATTTGTGAGGGAAGAAGATCCACCAGACAAGGCCACAGTGATAACTGATGTAGTATTGCTCAACGCGCTACTACACTCAGTCTGCGTTGGAGCTCCAGTTGGAGGGACTGATGGATATTTGCTAGGCTGAGCTGATGGACTTTCTGATGGACTCGCAGAGGGTACTGGCGATGGCTGCTCAGACGGTGGTGCACTTGGCCATGATGAAGGTACACCTGATGGTTTGGGTGTTGGTTCTGGGGTCGGTTCCTGGGTTGGTTCTGACGTTGGTTCTGTGGTTGGTTCAGGAGTTGGAACTGTTGTTGGTGATGCTGTTGGATCATTGGTTGGTTCTGCTGTTGGGTCCTGACTAGGTATATCTGATGGGTGTTTGCTGGGCATTGCTGATGGAGGTGGGCTAGGGGCTGAGGAATGTGCCCTGGTTGGAATGATGGAAGGAGCTACAGTCAGCAAAGATGTTGGATTCAGTGTGGGCTGTGGAGTGGGGACATCAGATGGCAACAGTGATGGATGAGTACTAGGAAATGCACTTGGTTGTTTGGATGGATTTATTGAAGGCCTTGTGGTGAGTAGACTAGTTGCTGCGCTTGGACTAGATGAAGGCAACTCACTTGGACCAGACGAAGGGCGCACACTGGGCAAACCAGTGGGTAGCAGAGTTGGACGAGGTGAAGGACTTTGTGTTGGAACTGTTGTTGGATTCATGCTTGGGGTTGCAGTGGTTGGGCTTGGTGTAATAATTGGTATTGACACTGAAACGCTGGCATTGCCAACTGAGGCGAAGCTAAGGGACTGAGATTCAGCCCTTGAAATGTTGGGTGGCAGAGTTGCTGGGGCCAAAGTGAATGGGGCCAAAGTGGCTTGGCGCACAGCTGCTGACGGAGCCATTGTAAGTGACAAAGTCAAATTTCTTGGATCCTCTGTGACTTCTTCAATGATGTCCACTGAAATAGCAAAGACAGGAGTTGTATCTGGAGCTGTTCCATTGACATTGACCATGCCAGGCAGAACACCCGTGTTGTTTCCTCCGCCACCTCCGAATGGGCTACCAACTCCTTGTGAGACATTCCCACCCTGGGCTTGCCCTGGGGTATCTCCTTGACCGTTGTTGCCTTGGGATGCATCTTGGGATGCTTGTTCTAATTCCTGCTGGGAGGCCTCTTCTTCCTGAGCTTTGATGATATTGGAGTTGAACTCCTGCAAGAAGTCTATTGTGGTAGTGTTTCTATCATCTTCTTGGGAGGAGCCAATTGGGCACAAACAAACATCCAAAGCCTGCTGTAGATTTCTGCCGGAAACTAACCTGTCTTGCTGGGGCTTCCAGTTGTGGCTGTGGTGCTCTTGGTGAAAAAGGTCATCCTCCAGAAGACTCCTACGAAAACCGTCATCAAACAGATTGAATCCGCCAGTGTCTGAGATCGGACAATTCCTACATCTGCCTGTGACTTCGAACAGTACTCTGTCACGCATTCGTGGTGAAGAAGTTGCTTCTGAAGAATCTGTGGAATTGTTGGTGCCTGTAGAATTCCCCCACATTGTAGTGTTGCTGTTCGACGTAGCTTGCAATCTTCGACCTGATAGTTCCCTGGTCACAACCAAACCAACCTTGGACACAACACGAAAGAACTCATCGCACGCCTCAAACGACAGCGTGTTGTAAGTTTCCAAGAACACCGTTTCCAAGGTTTCCTTGGTCCTCTCTGGTAACAGTAAAGGATCAACCCCCAGATCAGCATACACAAAAGATTTGAATGGCCTAATCTCTCCATCACAAAGGACAGGTTGGCCTTCCACTACGTTCTCTGCCACAGTCTCAACAGACTCTGCCCCGCCTTCTTGTTCCAGTTCAGCAATCTCATCATTGAATTCCAGCTCAAATTCTTCGGAGGTTGGGCCCGAACCAATAACAGGCTCTTCCCCAGCAGGGCACACACACATATTGTCATCCTGCTGTTGTAGCTTGTGAATCTTCTCAGATTTTTGGTATCCATGCCCAGAAGCTCTAGTTGTCACTAATGCCCGTCTTCCCCTGAAGGCATCATCAAAAAGGTTGAATGTGCCGGTTTCAGTCACAGGGCAGCCCCGGCAACTCCCAGTCACGGCGAACATGGTAGGGACAATCTCATTGCGGCGCTGCTGCTCAGGTGGCAAGGGAGCATTTAATGCTGAGGCATTGAAGTTTGTAGCATTTGTGTTGTTGGCTGTCCATTCCAACAGGTCTCGCTCAATCAAAACATTTTCCAGTCTTCTACCCCCAACATCGTCCACAACAGAATCCAGGGCACCAGTGGGAGCAATACGGAGCTCCACTCTGGAAACAGTTCGGAAATGGCCATCACAAGTAATGTATGCCAACCGGTTGTAGGAATCTTGGAAGATGCGCTCTATGCGAGCAGCTTCTTCTCTCGTGAATGATGTGATGTTAACCTTGAGGTCTGTGAAAACAACAGATTTGAAGTCTCTAATCAAGATCCCACAGGGCACAATCTGTGCTTCTTCCACTTCCTCAGCAGAGTGCACTGACTCAACAAATCCATTCTCTTGAAGATCCACCAGATCTGAATTGTAAGAGACAATGAAGTCATCTTGGGTCAGACTGGGTGCTTCTTTGTTGTTATCCTTGTCTTCCAGAGGGCACAGACAAATATTTTCATCCATGAAGCCGCGACCAACAGAGGTGCCCTGTAATTCAAGCGCACCAATCCTGCTCTGCTCCATGGCACCATTTCCCTGCAGCAACAGCTTTCGTTGAATCTGAACATCATCAAAGAGTGTGTAACTCCCAGAGTCACTGACAGGACAATCACGACACTGTCCCTTGATGCGGAGAATCCCATTTGCTGTTTCCAGTGGCCTCACTGTGGGAGTGAAGGTTGGGTGAAGGGCCAGTGCTTGTGAGGGTGTCAAGGAAGGCGACAGTGACGGTACCCCTGTCACGCTTACGTCGGGAATAGGCCCTGTTGTGTTTGTGTGCCCCGATGAGGTAGATGTGTCAGTGTCTCCCGGAATGATAACCAGCAAAGAACGGCTCTTGGGGTCATTGTCTTCTTCTGGTGGATCGAATTCCAACTCGAGCTTGACACTGGTGATGGTTCGGAAATAGGGATCACACGTGAGAAAGCTCAGTTGGTTGTACGTCTTGATGAAAGAAACCTCCAAGGCTTCGATCTCTTCAACTGATGGTATGGTGGTCTTGAGGAAGTTGATGCTGATGTAGGCAAAGGAATTGAAACTTTCAATGTCCTCAGAACATGGCAGAGTTTGTAGCTCGACGAGCCTTGTGGTGGTGATTTGGGTGGCTAGATTGAGCTCTGGAAGGAACATCTCTAGTGCTATCAGATTGGTATCTGCCATAGCACCAGCAGGACACAAGCAGTCCGTGGATGATGTTTCTTCTCCCGTCAGCTGCTTGGCCACTACTGGGGACTGTGGAGGTACTGTGGGTGTCTCTGTTTCGGGTTGTGGTGTTGTGGGTGGCTCTGTCCCTGGCTTTGTGGGTGCATCGGTTCCTGGTGTCTGTACCGGCAGCACCGTTTCCAGTGCCGGTGTTTCGGTTGCTAGCTCGCCCAGACCAGCAATCGTAATGGTGGTGTTATGGACATAGGATGGGAACAGTGGTAAAGTGGAAGACCCGGTGCAGTTGTAGCACTCGGCCGTCACCCGGAGGGTAAGAATGGCGCCGGCATCGCCTTCTCGGGTACCAACCATCTCCACGGACTGGATGGTTCGAAAATGAGGAATATCGCAGGACTCAAAGCTTTGGCGGTTGTAGGTTTCTTGGAATGCCTCCTCCAGTCCACTGAGTCGCCAGGAAGTCTCGTCCACATTATGATCCAACGTGTAGAGAACGAGGGTTCGTTTCAGAGTGGTGGTTCCACCCGGTGGGCAGACATATTGGTCTGCCGAAATAAGATTGGGTGTTGTGGCGGCGCTTGCTGTTGTTCCACTACTAGATGCCGTGAGAATGAGAAACGACCCAGCTAGCCACAGCCAGGTCCTCTTGTCGGAAGGTTTTGGAATCATTTGCTTCTCGTGATGGGAATGGGAAGCGCGGTTGAAGAATCGTGCAATGGTGGATCCATCAGCGATCAGCACGAAATATTGTGGCACACTCTCACTTTTTGTTGGATGATGAGCACATGAGCACGCAGTGGTACTGGTGTTGGTGCGGTGTCTATGTATGGCAAGCACCTGATTTCGGTGATGAGAATTGAGTTGCCAAGAAACCGCACTGGAAGCGTGGTTCCTAATTAATCGAAGTAAATCCCTTACTCCCGAAATATCTCTCTAACTCCTTTCAACAAGAGAAGGAACCATTTCCGTCATAACTATTAAGGCAAGTTAATACCATCAGGGACTCTTCGGGAGGTAGGATCATGTATGTAAAAGCCAGGATTGAGAACCATTAGACTAGTGAATGACGCCTTCCTTTTCAAGACTGAAGGAAATCGATGAAGGAGTTGGGGAATTTGTCTTAAGGGGCCTTTTACTGCTTTCGTCTTTTCTCGAGCATCTGGTACAGTTAAATACTCCAGAGCACCATACAAGTACGCGAAGCATCCTTACTGTGAGAGTTGACTACTCTTTCAGGTAGAACCTTCGAGAACAATTGTGTGTACCGGTACTCGGTACTGCTACTAGCTGCTCGAGTACTTAGACTAGTTGATTAATACCACCAATTTGGTTCTACGTATTTTCTATTCCGCTTTTGTGCCTTTTATCAATTGAAAAAGTTTCACTGCTTCATGCACTATGAGACCCCGATACCATCACAAAGCGATGTAAGTACCACCAGGACCTCCTCAAAGGATCTCGACAGGCTCAGAAGCACATTGAGATGCCTGGGATTCCGGGACCGGTTCGGTTGTGGTGCGAGGATTGAGTCGAATCGAATCGAATCATTCCGCTCATTCGATTCATTCATTCATTCATTCATTCATTCATTCATTCATTCATTCATTCATTCATTCATTCATTCATTCATTCATTGCTTCATTCGATTTCTTCATTCGATTCGATTCAACGCTACCACCAAGATTAGATTCGCGGAGTTGAAGATCAAAGAGACACAGGGCTCCGCTTGCATTGGAATAGTAGAGAGCTCATGATCCTTGTCTGTGCTGCCATTCTGTCTCTTGCTGTTCAGCAACCAGCTAGACTGGAGTAGACAGCCGGTAGCTAGATAGCTAGATGGATAGCTACCAGTACTGGTAGTAGCTGGAGTGCGATCGAGTTTTCGCGTCTCGAGATCATTCGCTGTGAGTGATGGGCTAGTTCGGGAATGAAGGTGCCAAAAGCGGCACGCGCAGGGGGTGGTACCGTCGTGCCGGTACCGTACCGAAACCGCGGGAGTACACCGACAGGGCCATGCTAAACGAGTCACTTTAGCATAAATCTGCTACCAGAATTGTGCCCATCGCAATGCAACCCAGAGACCAAAGTATTGGTGGGTTATCCTGACTAACTAAACCAGACTGCTTGGTGTTGTTGTCGTTTTTTTTTAAAATGTACCTCCTTTATAGCAATCTTAAAAGGAGTGCAGAATAGTTTTGAGATCAATCACAAGCTCTCATCGGCTTGCGGTTGACGTAACAACGCGATCGAGGAGTGTTACCAACCGCCCTCTTTGGTGTTGCGAAAGCTTTGCCAAAAAAGGGTTGGAGACTTGGCCTAAGTTGGCAGGAAGCTTGCCAAAAGCCCTGGGATCAGAGAAAACGTGGTTTTAACAGGATCAATCACAGTGAAATCCAAGTCTCGCGAACATGCTGTTTACGCTCTGTTTACCATCTTTATCCCCGTAAAACCAATAAAGATTTAAGACTTTTGGATCAAAGACTCAGCGACGACTGACGTAAGTAAGAGCACGCACACAAGTAAGGGACCGATGCCTCGATGTCCCCATCCCCCCAAGATTCATCTCCTGTTGATGAGAATGTGCTTGGCTTCATCACTTCTTTCGCACAAACTGAAAAGTGGAAAGAAAAAACAACGACCAGTTGGAGAGTGAAGAAATAATGAGGGCTTGCTTGATTGTCAGCCTCTTGCTGTTCTTGTCGGGTGCGGCCCATGCCTCCACCAAGAAGAAAGAAAAGAAAGAAGCAGCATCTAGCCGCAAAATCGGAACTCCTTTGCGTCGAGGAAAAGATGTCACCACTTCCCGTAGACTGAGTATCTTTACGGATAATCGTTGGAAGGACCGTGTAGGAGATGTTGTTCAGATTCCCTACTACGTTGATCTAAACTTCTTTACTCCTTACGGCAAAGAACTGATCGAGTCCAGTATCCAGTCCCTTGCCAATAGGAGCAAAGTGGTGCGATTTGTGCCTCGTACCAGTCAGGCTGCTTACATTCACGTGGTTGGTAAGTGGACGAATGATTGAGATTGAGATTGAGATCGATACTTCACTCTACAGCATTCAAATGATCTGATTTTACTATTTTGATTGACTAAACTAGTTCTCTTCCTGAATCGAATGCCATGTTGTCTTCCTGTAACCGAAAAAGACAAGAGCGGCGGCTGCTCCTCTTGGATTGGAAAATCCTTTACTGGGAAAGAACAGGAACTGAATCTAGCTCCTGGTTGCTTTGTTACTGGGATCATCCAACATGAGTTCCTCCATGCCTTGGGTTTTCATCATGAACAGGCTCGTCCGGATCGTGACCAATTTGTGACGGTCAATATTTCCAACGTCATTCCAAAGAACAGACACAACTTTGACACTACATTTTCAGCAGTGTTGGGAGCCGACTATGACTATGATTCTGTGATGCAGTATGGGTATCGAGCCTTTGCTATTGACCCAAATGTCAACGTTATTACAGCTGCAGATCCCACCAAAACGGAATTCCTGGGACAACGAACAGGAGCAAGCGAGCAGGATGTGATTGAAATGCGCCTCCTGTATCAGTGTTTGACCGGTCCACGGACGTTGGCAGATTACCAGGCCAATCTTTGTACATCCGACTGCAAGTGTTGGGAAGGTGCCTTTGGCTGCGATGGAAACGACGATGCGTGCCAAAGCTCTTTGACATGTGTCAATAATGAATGTGTGAGTGGGGGAGGAACCGGCGGAGGCACATGCACAGACAAGCCTGAGTGGACAGATTCCGAGGGTGATCCGTGTGCATGGTATGAGGCAGATGACAACTGTGCGCTCTATGGATCTGACAATGCAGGTATTGATAGCACTACAGCCTCCGAGTCATGCTGTGTGTGCGGTGGCGGATCGACTGGTGGCGGCTCTGGCGGTGACGGCGGATGTTCCAACATTATCGGCTGGGTGGACATGGAAGGGGATTCATGTGCGTGGTATGAGGAGAATAATGGAGAAGGTGATGCTTGTGCACTTTACGGAGACAGCTTTGCCGATTCTGTCACTGGGAAAACAGCCAATGAGGCCTGCTGTGTTTGTGGCGGTGGATCCCTTGCAGGAGTCACGTTGTGGAGTTTTGAAAACTCTGAGACTCCTGGTTTCTGCTTGGATGTGGCTGCTTCGTCAACTGAAGATGGTGCCAATATTGTGCACTATCCTTGCGATGGAAGCCCCAAACAAAAGTGGTGGGTTGATAGCAACTACTACATTCGAAGTGCTCTTGATACGAACAAGTGCATGGTTGGGGCACTTGGAGGGACGAGCCAGGGGACAAATTTGATCCTCAATGACTGTTTTGCGAATGATGACCGCTTTGTGATAATCTACTACACAGACGGAACCTTCAGGCCCAAGAACGATGATACCCAATGCCTTGGACCTTCCAGGGAAGAAACGGCAACACTTTTTGGAACCATTACTGTCCCGAAAATCAACTTTTGGGATTGTACTGACAGTCCCCACCAGCAGTGGAGCGGAGTATCGGCAGAGGAGGCCAAAAGGAAGCTAAGGGGCAATGAAGATGCGGATCGAATGCTACAACAGGCAACAGAAACGCCACAGCCAGAGCATTGTAGTGACCTTCCCCTGGGTTGGTACGATTCCTATGGTGATAATTGTGAATGGTACTCGGTGGGAACCCGTTGTGATGATTACGGCAGTGCCAACAGGAACTTTGGGAAAACGGCCAATCAGGCGTGTTGTCATTGTGGAGGGGGGAGCCTTATTGATGCCCAAGCAATGTTGGATGCCCCTCTTTCTGACCCCGTCCCCTCTACCAACGAATGTTGGGATCTTGTTTACGACTGGACTGACAATGTGGGGGATAGCTGTGTTTGGTATTCACAGGGAAACAACTGCTTGTATTACGGAGATGAGTTTTCCACCCTTGACGGAAACGCCAACTTGGTTTGCTGCACATGCGGGGGTGGATCTACAACTCCACCGTTACTTGGTGATTATATTGAGGAAATTCCCGGTTGTAGCGATTCCCCTGCCCATTGGACCGATGTGGACAATGACGGATGTGACTGGTATGCGGAAGATGACAACTGCCAGGTCTTTGGAAGTGGATATGCTGGCGAAGATGGGAAAACTGCCAACGAGGCCTGCTGTGTCTGCGGGGGTGGGTACGATCCGAATGCTCCCCGAATTGTGCCAAATATCACCGCTCCTTGTACGGATGTTCTGGATTGGACTGATTCCGGGGGTGATCCTTGCTCCTGGTACGAGACAGACGACCGTTGTTTTCGATTTGGAACTGCCAATGCAGGTCCAGATGGCTCTACCGCAGTGGAATCCTGTTGTGTCTGTGGAGGTGGAGCGGCCCCTCTCTGTAGTGACAAGGCAGATTGGACCGATTTGGAGGGTGATCCTTGCTCGTGGTATGAGATAGAGGACCGATGTTTGCAATTTGGAATTGCCAATGCGGGGATTGACGGAACAACTGCCTCGGAGTCCTGCTGTGTCTGTGGAGGATCTGCTCCCGTGTGCAACGACAAGGCTGGGTGGACGGATTCGTTTGGAGATGGCTGTGTTTGGTATCTGTATGGTAATCACTGTGATGTTTACGGCAACGCCAACGAAGGAGAGGATGGAACTACAGCCCGAGAGTTCTGCTGTGGCTGTGGTGGCGGAGAAGTTCAATCGGATTCTTGTTTTGACACTCCTGGTTGGGTGGATGGGGCACAGGATGATTGCTCTTGGTACGAATTGGATGGCAGATGCACTACGTTTGGAGGCTCGGACGCGGTGGCTAGTGCCGTTGATGGCACAACCGCCAACGAAGCCTGCTGTGTCTGCGGTGGTGGAAGTTCTGGTTCTACCTCGGCTGTGGCGGCAGCCGAGGCAAAATCCGCCCAAACGAAGAAGAAGACGAAAGGCTGGTTGGGTTGGCTCCCTGGCGGGCTTGAGCCCTGATGATCAGAGTGTCGGTTTTGAATTGCTTGTTACATACATACGTGAAAGTGTCCTATCCATAAGTTAGTTGTACCGGTACATGCACTATTGCAAGAAGAAGCCAGGCGAACGTAGTCCGCCTCGATCGTCGTTTAGGTGTACCGTAGTCTGTCAGTCAATCTCCGTAGAGTGTACTTTACGAGCAGAGAGCCATTTTCTGAATGAATCAGAATCGAATGTCATCTTCTACTCGTAGCTTTTGGTTTTGAGCCATGAAGAGGCGCAAAGAGGGCCATCGACAAGCTTTCATGAATAATTTCACGGTGTTCCTTGATTGAATTGATGGTGAAAGCATGGTCCTTGGTAGAGCTGTCCGGATTCTTTCTTTGCCCAAGCGCCCATCGGCGGTTCCGTAGATTGATTCCTTACGCTAACCCCCCCTTTTTCTTGACTTCTAGCTACTAGCTAGAAAGTTTAGAGGGGTATTTGTGTTCCGTCTCCTGAGACGGCGCTCCTTTGGTTACCCCTCAGTTGCACTCTGGAATCGATTTGCCGGTGTTTACTGTGTAAATTAGAGTAGCGGCAAGTCAGTTGCAGAATCAACGGTCATATGTATCCCTAAGTACCAAACCTGTATTTAACGTTTTTAACGTCTGTACATGTGTGTGTGTGTTCCCTTACGGTAATGTGGCTGTAACCGTTACCGGTACCGACACTGAAACCGTTAACATACCAGTAACTGTCATCGATACGGAACGAGGAAAACGTCATCATCTGTCATGTAAATTGAAGTTCAAAACCCGAGGAACAATGTTGGAACACGTCAGAGTACGTAATGCTATAAGTTATTAGGAATTAGTTAATTGAATGCTGCTTCGGACTGTAACATTTCATCGTAATTGTCTGCGGAAAGAATATCGAAGGGAATGTAGCGACTGAAAAGTTTCTAGCATATGCACTATTTCGCCTGGTATCTGGTACTTTGTTAAATCGAGCAACAGTGGTTTCCTCAAGAATAGGCCTTTCATTTCTCTTACTCTTGAAAGTACCACGTATACCCAATTATCTGCATAGTGCCAGTTCCACACCAACAGTTCCGATGCTGTGTAGCCTTGCAACTTGTGTCCTGCTGTCGCTGAATTGCTAACAAGAGGAAACTGGATTCCTTTCATGCGAACCTCAATCTTTTACTTTTCGATTTTCATCTTGAACTTGAAGGACACTCCGTGTGTCTTGACATCGAAATATCTTGGCAAAATGTCTTTCATCTCGTGTTTGACTGTGATTCTGTCAATTTGGCTGACACGGAAGACACGGATTCTGACACCGCAATGCTGTTGAATGATGAAGGGCTGTTCTCGGGGCTTTACATGTACCTTGTGTAGGAACACTCTCGAACCATTTGCCTGTCCATTTGGTACGTCTTCATTCTTTGTCAGCATCAGAGGGCGGTTGTAGTACATCTTCAATGCCGGATCATCACGTCCGTTGTCCATGTCACAATCCGATTCTCCACATGTTGTCCAGAAGTGTTTCTTAATGCGGTTGCTTGTTACTGGAACATACTGCTTGTGATCATTGTACATTTCAATGTTGTCCATCAAAATCATAATTGCCCCCATTGCACCATGTAAACATCGTCTGCATCGGCGGGAGCATTTGCGACACAAAGAATTGCTCGAAAACTGTAGTGTTGACCACGTCTTGTTCCCAATTATAGTGGTATGCCACCTGAATGTTGGAGTTTGGTTTATGGTTCTCGGACACGACACAGTGATGGTTGATGTACATTATGTCATCCCTCGTTGGCTTCCCCGCTCGAAAACGTTTAAGTCTTTCGCCCCCAAGGAAGCAACGTCGTTTCGAAACCGATGCATTCCATCCAACTCGATATACGCATTAAGAGTACCTTGAAAAGCAGTGCATTCTTGTTTGTAGAGTGGATCTCGTTTGGGTGGCATTAACTGTGAGAATTCTCCCATCAAAACCTTGTTAAGTCCTCCGAAAGGCTTGAATGTGTTTCCCTTGATGGCTGTCTTGAAGGTTCTTGTAAATCTTGTTGATATGGCCTTCGCACGCAAAGGAAACTTCGTCAATAATCACCAATCTTGACCCATCCCATCCTTGTAAGAAGTCAACATCGTCGACTGTTCTACGGTTTATCCCAATAGCACTGTGTGTTGTCTCACCGTGAAGTAACGTAGCGGCTTCGCCTGATAGAGCTGTAATAACTATCGTTCGTGAAGTGAATTCAGAACCATTCAGTTGACAGAATTCCCGTGCGTAGGCTGTGGTAAGGTTGATGACGGTAGTCTTGCCACTGCCTCCAGGACCGTGGACAAGACATATCAGCTGGGTTTCTTCGCCTCCTTTTAATCGTATCAGGTTTTTCCGCGTAGTGCGATATCACAGTGACTTCAATTAAGCCATCGTTCTCCACGTCCACCACCTCATCGTAGAATGTCAACACAAAGACCGATATAATGGCCTCGAACGCACGCCGTTGTAGTGGGTCAAGTTTTCCTGCACTCGCCCATTCCAAGATACTAGCGATAGATCTGTTGGCTTCATGCACCTTCGCTCCTTTTTTGTGTTCAAAAATTGCTTCCCTTGCTCGTGCGGTAGTCTTAGTCAACAGAACCTCCACAATATCACGAATGTGAAATGGCTTTTGACCATGGCCTATTGTATACTCAACAAAGTCTTCTTCCTTTCCCAATGTGTTGGAGGAAATATTCCTGATACCTCTATTATTATTGACTCATGTATTAAACATCTAGTCCGGTTCGCATGCATATTCATGATGCAAGGAACCAAGGGAGTTTTAGGTCTAAAGTGTTGCGGGGGCCCTTATATCCAATTCAATCACAAGAATTGCTATGCACCACCAGAAAATCCTCACTTTTGCTTTACAGCTTAATCCAAAACCAAATTACTCCCCAATAAGCTGCAGTATTACTAGCAAACAACATTGTAAAGCAAAAGTCTCATCTCGAGTTCGACAGTCCAGCCGGAACTACGTTGATCTGAGGATACAATCGACTCAAGCAGAGAAAACTGAATAGGTTACGTGCTGGAAGCAAGGAAATCCGGCTCTTATTCAAGGAGTTGAAGCGGATTACGTCATCGCGCGAGATTACGAGATTTTTGTTCATCACGGCGAGCAAAAGCCAACAGTTGTCGATCAAGCTATCGACGCACGAGGGCATTGCAAGCCACAAAACCAAAAGAGCGGAAGTTGCGCAACACGTCAAGGATACTCGGAGTATCAGTGCACGCTTCTAACTCCCGATATTGAGTGAGATAGGTTGATCCAAGTGATCCACCGCTATTGTGACGTGAACCACGAAAATCCCTGTAAACCACACGGAGTCCTAAAACTCCACCATTTGCCTGTTTCACACTGTAATACTCACACAGTGTACCCATCCAAGCATACCAAGACCATCTGCAAGCTTTGCAGAGGCAACAAAAGGACCAACAGAGGCAGTTGGCTACTACCCAAGGATCCATACCACGCTTTACGTGAGCTGTCACAGACATAGGCTAATCAGCCAGTACACCAAGAGTGCACCAAAAGAAGGCTATCCAGCCAACAAGCAAGCTTTTGAATAGTCACGCAGCAGTGCTATTCCTGCAGGAGTATCCACACACCAGTTCCACGAGAACACACAAGCTAGTTCCAAGGAACAAGCAAGCACAAGAGTGCATTACCACACCAGCAAGACCATGAGATTCCAAGGAAGAGGTGGTCGTGGTGGAGGAAGATACCCTTCTAGGGGGGTAGGGGATTCAATTCCTCAGGAAGAAGCCATCAAGGAAGAGGCAACAGCTACAGGAACCAGAACAAGAGTTCCAAGTGACAGTTCCTGTTCCATCCAAATGGACAGGCAGACAACAGGTATTATCCTTTTGAAGAGACTCAGACCCACATTGTCCAGGATCTAAGGATCAAGCCTGAATGGAATGATATGCCACTGGTTTTATTGGCCATTGAGACCATGACAAGTCAGGCACCAACCAAGCCGGACAAGCTGACACTTCAGACATCACTTGCTGATCCCAAAGCCCAAGAGTACGATGCCTTGGAACTCAGCGAGTACAAGGCAAAGTCATCCATCTATGACAAGTCGACTCGCTCCTATGAGAACATCCTCAAGACTGGTGCAACCACCATCCAGGTGACATACTGTACCGACGCCAGGAAGTCCAAGCTGAGAGGACTAGGAGACTATGAGGATGCAGTCAAGCTCGATCCCATCGAGATGCTCAAGAGGATCCGTTTGATAGTGATGCAAGGCTCAACCAAAGAGTTCCCATTGCTACAATTCATCAAGACCATCCAACGTGGTTTGTTCCCGAAACAAGGTGACCATGACAGAGTTGACGTCTACTTGAGGAAGGTTGACAGCGACGTGGATCAAGTCTATGACCTGGTCGGAACGGAGTTCATTGATGCCAGGACTATCGGATTAGACGAATACAAGGCCGCATCGGGTCATGACGCCCAAGAAGTGGTGCTAGTGAAGGAACGAGCCAGGTTGAAGGCAACCATCAATAAGTTTCTAGAAGGTTCAGTTCCAATACTCAAGTAGTGGACTGGGTCTCGCTGAAACCCTTCCTCAGGGACAGCGGTAGTCAGGCAGTTCAGGGAGCCTTGTCGTGCCTCAGGAGTATTCCAACACCTCCAGTAGGCACCAAACCAAGGACTTGGTCCTGTCAGTCAGACAGGAGGGCCAGCAGAGCTCTCTGCTGGACCCTTTGGGCCAGCTCTCCTCAGGAGCTGGGGGCCTTCGTTATTCAATCGTGCAGTGGCAGTCTGGGAACAGTACTATCTGCTACCTCCTACTGCTTCTGCCCGGCCTCAACAGGATAGGTATCAACTGCTGCGGTATCAAAGGGGCTACAAGCTAATCAGGATCGGTCTCAATCTTTCGTACTATTTTCTTAACTATGGTAGAAAGGACGATCCTTTCTTGCTGCTTTGGCTGGAGATAAGCCAGCTGTGGGTGCTGGAGCCGTAGGCCAGCATAGCTGTTGGAGCTATCTCTGACGGGATCCAGAGCTCTCGCTCCTAAAAGTTATCGACCATAGGCTAACATGGACTCCAGGAAGGAAGAT